AGAGAGGGAGAGAGGGAGGGAGGGGGAGAGGGAGGGAGGGAGAGAGAGAGAAGGAGAGAGAGAGAAGGAGAGAGAGAGAGAGAGAGAGAGAGAGAGAGAGAGAGAGAGAGAGAGAGAGAGAGAGGGAGGGAGGAGAGAGAGAGAGAGAGAGAGAGAGAGAGAGAGAGAGAGAGAGAGAGAGAGAGAGAGAGAGAGAGAGAGAGAGAGAGAGAGAGAGAGAAGAGAGAGAGAGAGAGAGAGAGTTACTATTTCTCCCTAAAGTGTTCTCCAGTGACGAACTACGAGATGTTAACACCCAAATTCGCCCTAAACGATCCACAGAGAATAATTTCAAAAATTTCATTCCTATTCCTCCGAACTCGCCTCAGAGGCTGGCTCTTGCGTCTTTTTGGGGGAATTCACGGGGTGGGAGACCAATGGGGGAGAGGGAGGGAGGGGAGGAGGGAGGGGAGGAGGGACGAGTATTGGGGAGGGACAGGCGGGACCGGTTCCATAGACCTGACCTTTTGGAGAATGCGATTGGCCAACACTGATCTAGTTTGTTTTTTACTGCCCCGGGAAAAACTGAGTTGGCTAATCGTGTCCCTAGGCAAGCCGAGGAACTAAACGGAGAAGCAACAGGGGAGCGCGAGGCCGCGGCCGGTCTTGCATCAGGGCGCCGCGATAAGGAGAGAACGGTCGTGCGCAATGCTATTTTCTTTGGAAAATCGAGGGACAGCTTACGTGCTGTTTTTGATAAGATATAACACAATGTCATGTCCGATAGGCCTATTTTGAGGTTTGCATATCGGTGGAGACAGCATAGCAATAAACGGTGTTCGATTAAAAAGGCATATAGATACCCACATAGATAGATGGCTACACAGAATCAGATAAGAGACCAAGAGATCACCCTATCAACCAACGTATGTTAATCACTTCCACCCCCCCCCCCCCCCGTCGGCGCAGGAATCAATCGGCGCTAATGGCTCGCCTCCAATCACGGCTAAACTGCGGTCGAAAGCGATTAATCTCCCTCGACACCTGCGAACGCTGCCTATTTTCTTTCGACTTTCACATTTTCGCTTCTCTTTAGGCATTCATTTTTTTCTTTGGGTACTATTCACAAACACACACACACAGAGGGAGAGAGAGAGGGAGAGGGAGAGGGAGAGGGAGGGAGGGAGGGAGAGAGGGAGGGAGGGAGGAGAGAGAGAGAGAGAGAGAGAGAGAGAGAGAGAGAGAGAGAGAGAGAGAGAGAGAGAGAGAGAGAGAGAGAGAGAGAGAGAGAGAGAGAGAAAAAAAGAAAGAAAGAAAGAGAGGCAAAGAAAGAAAAAAGAGGAGAGCGACAGCGACAGTCCGTCAAAAAAACAGAGAAAAAGCTCGAACCATTTTACCTTCGCCTCTGACATTTACGTCGCGTCCCTCGCCGGCGGCCGACGCTCGCCGCGACGAAACGAATTTCCACACGAAAACATTCTGACACTCCCCCCCCTCTCTCTCTCCATCTCACTCTCTCTCTCTCTCTCTCTCTCTCTCTCTCTCTCTCTCTCTCTCTCTCTCTCTCTCTCTCTCTCTCTCTCTCTCTCTCTCTCTCTCTCTCTCTCTCTGTCATTCTCTCTCTCTCTCTCTCTCTCTCTCCTCTCTCTCTCTCTCTCTCTCTCTCTCTCTCTCTCTATCTTCATTCTCTCTCTCTCTCTCTTCTCTCTCTCTCTCTCTCTCTCTCTCTCTCTCTCTCTCTCTCCCTCTCCCTCTCCCCCTCCCCCTCTCCTTCTCTGTATGCTTTCCGGTGGGTTTGTCTGAGTTTGTAGGTACACGTTTAAGCGCGTAAGCCAGCGAGATAACACACATGCACAATAAAATTTTATGATATGACCCAAGACGAGATAAACTCAGTAATTTCTTAGTTAGATCAAAAGCAATAAAATGAGATACGCATGGTGATTTCATAAAAAAAAAAAAAAAATCGGCGTTTATCCTTTTGTTGAAAATCAGTCGCTACTTTTAAGATAAATATAATCACCCTTGTTGTGCACATTAAAATTAGAATTTAAAAAAGCCCGTTTCGTTCCCCGGCTCTGAAAATAGTGCATCCTTATGGGTCACTTATGAAAAACAAGTAAAAGTAAAAATAAATAAAAATCGTAGGCTTCCACGTATCAACTCATGTTCATGACAAATCATCTACGGTACGGTAACAAGGAAACGACTCCCCCCCCCTAACACAAGGCACAGTGAAAGTGGCTCTGAGCGCGATGAACAGAGTGCCAAGTGGCCCCACGCGCTCGCTCTCGCTACGTATTCAGTGTCACTCTTGGGTACACAATGCTGGAGCACGTGGCAGCCCACCTTTCCTGGGCTTTAAGTTGCTGTGTTTTATTATTCATTTACATGTTCTTTTGTTGTATATACTGTTCTCCTTTCGTCTGCGCTGCTCGTCTCCATTTTCTCTTCTAATTAAGGTAAACGGGGTATAAGAGAAACATGAAAAGGAGCGAGTGAGAGAGAGAGAGAGAGAGAG